TTAAGATTTAAAATCCGTTTGCAGTAATGAAAACTCTATATTCTCTTTCTCAGATCGTTTGGATAAAACATTTTAATACAAAAATGTTGGCCTACTGATATAAAGGTCCATCTACTGTGGAGTATATGGACTCAATATCTGGTTTGGAATCCTTTTGTATGAATTACTGTATCAATGTGACGCTTCTGGATCAGAGTAAAGTTTTATAATTTCTCTTTTTTAAAACCATACATATATTTTCTATGGGGTTCAGGTCAGACGAGTTTGCTGGTCACTCAAGTTTAGTCGCATCACGGTCATTGGGGTTATGGTACCTATGGTGTCATAGTACATCACTAAAGCCAAGTCATGTAGGAATATATCAGGGCTGCAACTAACCATTATTTTGCAAATCAATCTTATAATAATCGGATAGCAAAAGGTTCCTTAAAGAAGAATTTTTAGGATATTAAACAAGGTGAACCCAAACCATTTCCACTTGAGGAGTTCTGGATAGAGCCTATTCACAGATGCACATTTTAAAAATATTTTTATTACAATATTGGTAGAATTACTGGTCTAACTGCGTTGCTTTGTCAGCTAAAGGCACATTTTAGAGTTTCTGTACTCCAGTTAACGATTAATCGATTACTACATGTGTTGACATTTATTTAAATAATTGATTAAACACAATTAATTGTTTCAGCCTTAGATTATATATCAGCATCTCCATAAAGCTTGGCTTGTCAAGAAGTAGAAGTGCCTTAAAATGTCCTGTTTGAAGTTGATTAGACAAAGTGGACAAAGGCTAGCAGATCTAAATGGCATTCAAATTATCACTTACCTCATCAAGCATCACCGTCTCTGTTTAACCTGAAGAACCTGGAAGCTTAATTTCCAAATGAAATGCTAAAATGTAGTATACCGGGAAAAGATGCCTTTGGAAAAACTAAGCTTAGTACAGCTCTATGAATCTTCCCTCAAACTCTGGAATTGGATTTCTTTCACATTACTCTCAAAATAAAAAATAAAAAATTGAAACAATTCACTGGACTTAGTTTCCAAGTTTGAAGAAGTTTCGCTTCCCATCCAGGAAGCTTTATCAATTCAAAATGGTTGAAAAAAAAGTTTCCTGGATGAGAAGCGAAACAACTTTAAACTTGAAAAAATTAAGTCCAGGGGATGACCTGGATGACTGAGAGCCTTCACCAGCACATTACTCTCAAAATTACTTTTTTTTTTGCCTTTCCTAAACTATTGCATTATCATGGTATTTAGCACTGACCATTTGTGTCTAACCTTTTTTTCCCAAGAGGTGTTAATAATTGTCTGCTGGACAGCCATCAGGTCAGCAGGTCCTTCTCAAAATATTAGCATCTTGTGATAAAGTTCATTATTTTCCATAATGTAATGATAAAACTTGAACATTCATATATCTTAGATTCATTGCACACTAACTGAAATGTTTCAGGTCTTTTATTGTCTTAATACGGATGATTTTTGGCATACAGTTCATGAAAAATTGCAAAATTCCTATCAGAAAATTAGTGTTCTTATTAGAAATTCATCCGTATTAACAAATAAAAGACCTGAAATATTTCAGTCAGTGTGCAATGAATCTAAAACATAGGAATGTTTAAGTTTATCATTACATTATTGAAAATAATGAACTTTTTCATATGCTAATACTTTGAGAAGGACCTGTATGTGATGGCAGAACATTTACCTTTAGTTCTTATAGTTCCTATGTAATATTCTAATCCTCTGGGAAACAGATTTTCAAGCTTTAATTAACTGTTACTCATAATAATCACAGTCAGCAGAAACAAATGCTTAAAATTAAACGCCCTCTGTTAAAAATTAGTCAGTATTTAAAATACAATTATTCCTTTTTTGGGTTTCATTATAGAAAATAAAGATTGTTCTCATATTTTAAGCTGTTTGGTTTCACCTGTGAGGTCTGTGGATGGTTCAGTCTCCTTCAGGACAGGATTGACCTCCTTCAGCTTCAAAACTTCTTCATTGAAGCTCAAATCAAAGATGGAGCGAAGGTTGGCAGCAGCTGTCATCGTGGATAATTACCTGCTCAGAGCAAAGAAAAGAATACTTTAAACTCTATCTGAAATACAACAGGCTACACAGAAACAGAAGTAGCTTCATATGTCAACCTTTCTCGGATTACTGAGATATAAAAAGTACTCAACGTGAAAAATCTAACAATTTTCAGTGGTCTTTAAAGCTGTAGTCAGTGGCTATTTAACACGGTGTGTGACGCTAACGACACGTGTAGAAAAGATACATCGTGTTTATTCTTTAAAAAACGGCTTCATCTTTGGTAAAACTGTTACGCCATAGCTTCAAATCTAGTTTAATGAATTGCCTGAAAATAAATAGTAACTCACCATATAAAGAAAGCTCGACAAGCTTGTCAGCAAATTTTATGCTTCCTCCAACCTACTACGGCAACTCACTAGGGTCAATAATGCTGCGGCAGCTGTGTAGGTCTCAGGAAAAGCAAAGGTTGCTGACAGTCAGAAATAACTGTACGAAGGCATAATAAATTAAAGAAAATGAAAGGAAACAATCTAAACAGAAAACTTTCTTCTTCTGT